TAGCAATTAGAGAAATGCAAATCAAAACTACTCTTAAGATTTCATCTCACTCCTGTCAGAATGGCAGCTATTATAAAGATAAACAACAATAGTGATGGCGATGATGTGGGGGGAAAAGGTACACTCATATATTGCTGGTGGGACTTCAAATTGGTACAGCCAATATGGAAAGCAGTATAGAGAATCCATGGAAAACTGGGAATAGAACCACCATTTGACCTGCTATCCCTCTTCTTGGTCAATAGACAAACACTTAAAACAGCATACTGCTGGAATACAGCCACATCAACGTTTATAGCAGCACAATTCACAATAGCTTAACTGTAGAACGAAACTAGATGCCCTTGATTAGGTGACTGGATAAAAATGTGGCATAAATAAACAATGGACTATTAGCAATAAAAGAGAATAAAATCATGGCATTTGCAGTGAAATGGATGGTGTTGAAGAAAACAATGCTAAGTGAAGTTAGCCAATCCCAAAGAAACAAATGCTGAATGTTTTCTCTGATGTAAGGAGGCTGATTCATACTGGGGTAGGGAGGGGTTGCCTGAGAGAAATAGAAGAACTACTGATAGGCAAAGGGGTGAGAGAGGAAGGGAATGGACAGGGTGTTAGAAATGATGATGGAATGTGATGAACATCATTATATCCAAAGTACATGTATTAAGACATGAAGTGTTGTGAATATACTTTGTATACAAACATAGATATAAAGAATTGTGCTCTGTATGTGTAATATGAATTGTGATGCATTCCACTGCCATTTAATAAAACCATTAAAAAAAGAAAAGACAAAATTTCTTAGAAATAAAAAGAGGGAATACATTATATTAACTCATTAAACTATATTTCTGTTCAAAAGAAAAGGATTTTCAAAATCTGGAAAATATTTATGTGTTTCCAGTTTAAAAGTTGAATGAAAGAGAGAATAAAACTTTCCCTCCCTTCCTCACTTATACACGATTAGGAATAAATTGAGGAATGAAGACCTGTTTCCACAGAACTAAGTTCAGTTACCCTAAATCATTAGGCATGTATATAATTAAATGACTTGAAACTTGTTGCTACACCCTAAGGCAAATTATAGGGCAGAAAAAGCAAATGTAAAAGTAGAAGGAAATATGAGTGGTAATTGAGCATTTTCCAAAACTACAGGTATCTAAAATTAACAGTGGAGCGATTATAGATGTTTCCAAACTTTAGTTTGATGGATAATTTTTGGGAGGAATCCAAAGCTACATTTAAATTGCCATAGAGGAATAGAAGCTGACAAATTTCATACTGGAACTCTGGAACTTTAAGGAATCATCCCTTAAAGATCATGTTCAAACTCTTGTTCTGACTCATCAGGTCTTTGCCTCTACATGTCCATTACATTCTAAGCTGACTCCAATGATCCTGGTCTGTAGACAACACCATTTGGAGCTGTTCATTGGGTATCCTTTGGGGAAATACACAAGAACCACAGCTGCTTCCTACACTTCAAGACACAACCAGATTAAGTGCAAGCATCAATCTCACTTTCATTCTGAGCATGTCTCTTGAGATGTGGGAAGAACACAAAGGACTAAGATGAAGAAATGATATTTCTAAGATAGCTCTGTCACATTGGCAGACAACAAGAGTGGCAAAGATTCACATGAAGGATGGAAATGGAAAAAGACAAGCTCCCACTTTTATGAGTTTCTTTGGAAACGTTGAAGGGAAGAGAAAGTGAGGGAGAAAACATACAATTTAAAAGGGGAAAAAACAAGTAAATAGGAGAATTCTAGTCAGCTCTCTTAGCTTTCCTTTCTTCAAGTTGAAGCCTGGTGCAGAGATTGTAAGAACCAGTGGCAACTGGCAGAATTAGGATAACCTACAGCCACCCATTTTCTGCTTCTATATCCAAGAGGCATCACAGTGCTTGAGGCATCCATTTGTGTCCTTCAGATGAGGATCCATGCATTTTTGAAGCATTCATTGCTATAAAGAAGCTGATAATTCCAATCATACTATTCCTATTACCA